GGGGCCCAAAGGGAACATTTACCAATATTTTCAAATTCTTATCCTTTGATGACATGACAAGTATTGTATTTCACTTAGTTTACATGCTGATTTCCACATCACATCTAAACAATAAAATAAAGCTACCAGTACCTATGATATAACTCAGGTGACCGCTAAGGCCCTTGGGCCTCTTGTTTCTTTTGATATCCATGTCAATGCATATTTGATATATTACCACAACCAGATGGCAATATGTTCAAAGGAAGTAGATACGATGGTTATCATCACATCTATTTGTGTAGAAATGTATATCAGAAATAAATGTAGCAATTTGATATCAGGAGATCTGGGCTGAATAAACGTGTAAAATGAATCAGTGAACGAAACAGTGTAACTACGGCTAAGCGGGAACACATATTGCTAGGAGTAGCGCTCCCAGGGCCATTACCATGGTGATACCTAATAGCCATTCTTTATGATAAACATTAACAAGGAAACGTTCGAAAACAAATATATCGAGATATATTTCATATACCTATCACAATTACATATTCATAGTGCACAATTCATTCTACAACGGTTATTAAGAGGTTACCTAATGAGTGTTGGTTACCTTATTTATCTAGCTCAGTTAACAAGATTAACAGAGTTTATTTGAAAATTAACTAACGAGGTAGATAAACATGACAATCAACCAACACGGAATTGGGGACTTTTTTCTCCTACAACGATAAGATATTTTATCTAGAAAACAACATGTTTCTCTTGGGAAATCGACATGATATATGACGTCACATTGGAAAATGACGCCGCAAAGCTCATAATTAGGAGAGAGACAAATGAAATAACGTGAAGGGTGTTATTCACTATTGGGTAACCAAAATTGTTATATTCAAAGAGTCAGAGTGCGGAAACCTACAGTGGCTGTGGAAGAAAACGACTTTGTCAGACCTGTAAAAATTATTTAAAAGAATCATAATAAAATCATGGACTTTTCAAGAAGCTACTGTTTTCGTAACGCACACTTCCAAGGTTTTTATAGTGCTACATCATAAAATAGTTCTGGAACCAACTTACATGATGATGTTAAAAATTACAAATAAATTTCCTCAGCACAATCACCTTCATATTATCGAAGTTCCGTTCCTATTCAAACCGATAATCTTATGTGTAGTCAGATGTTTAGTTTGATATTGTAAAAATGGTCACATCAAAGCACCAAAACACCATGTGTAGTTATATGTTTAGTTTGAAATTGTACAAATGGTCACAACAAAGGACCAAAACAGCATGTGTAGTCATATGTTTAGTCTGATATTGTACAAATGGTCACGACAAAGCACCAACACACCATTGGTAGTCATATGTTTAGCTTGATATTGTAAAAATGGTCAGAACAAAGCACCAAAACACCATGTGTGGTCATATGTTTAGTTTGATATTGTACAAATGGTCACAACAAAGCACCAACACACCATTTGTAGTCAGATGTTTAGTTTGATATTGTAAAAATGGTCACAACAAAGCACCAAAACACCATGTGTAGTCATATGTTTAGTTTGATATTGTAAAAAATGGTCACAACAAAGCACCAAAACACCATGTGTAGTCAGATGTTTAGTTTGATATTGTACAAATGGTCACAACAAAGCACCAAAATAACAAAGCACCATCTAAATGTAACTTATTAAAGGAGTGCAAACACACTTTGAACTTCACTTCAAACCGTTCATACACATGTTATACTAAAGCAATCAATCAATAATCGATTACCACACATCCTCGCTAAAACGTTGGTATAAATTTGATGCAAATTGCAGCAAGTTCTGGTAGTCTTGATCAAACCCGATTTTAGATAGGTAGAATTGGCCTATAATGTTTTTTAAAAACTACATGACAGGTCATTGGTTTTACCTGACATAAAATGTACTAACGTAAGAAATATTTTGGTTGAGTACACATTTCCGTTTGATCAGACATAGATTCTAAAACATTTGTTTATGTTTCATAATCTACTGGAGCGTCATTTCCTGATCGTTCAATATTTCTGGTCATCACTGTAATTATGTTTTAAAATAAATCGTACACGGTCATTTGAATTTATATACTGGTGTAAACAACTGACTAGAATCAATGTAAAATATCACAATAATATCTTAATTGACATGAACGAACACTTTTCAGAAAAAGTCAAACTAAAATCGAATCCTTTAGAAAATAGAGCAATATCTATCCGCTTTAATTCAAATCTATCACAATAATAAATATAATCACGAGAATAAACAAATCACGATTCAAACAAATAAACAATTACTATTTAACCCTCAGTGATCCTTTCAGAAACTTCAATTTTTCGTAAATGTGCCGTTGAAAGAAAATCGGGAAAATAATAGGAGAATTACGTGGCCTACATTCATCACCATTTGACAAACACTATACAAATATTTAGACCTCATGGGAGAGTGGTTGGGACTTTGGGATAAACGGAGTAATCAAGTGTAAATACACTGAAATCAATGACCACGGGACAATAATACCTTCTCGATACTCCAACATCTCAATAACCAAGTAAAACTTTGTATGTTCAAAAATACTTACAACAAACAGAAAATCATTTTTCTAAAGGTGTTCGATATAAACGAATTGAGGAACTTTATTTGAAACGGGAATGCCTGGTAATGCTGTAAATTGATATCTATATATCACGTTATATTTCATATAAATGTCTCTTAAATATATAATGATGTAAAAACACTTTTGTAAGCTTGATATAGTACACTAAACGTCCAAGTACAGTTTAAAATATTAAATATATATATGAATTTATATATGTATTAGATATATCTTCATAATAACTTTAAGACACTACAAATATATCAACAATGGAACATGTCTACGCTGAACGCTGCATAATCCAGCAACCCGTAAGAACCACTAACTTAATTACTTCTATAAAGTGTAATTTATGTAAGTTAAGCCGATATTTTCCGATGACTATTTACTCTTAAACATTTTACAGTTCCTTTCGTAACCCGTTTAAATCAGTTTCCACTGTAATTTAATTTTTATGTGGAACTTGTCTCAGTTTATAAGCAAGATGTGATAAAATATTCTACTATTAGCAAATTTTACAGTACAAATATCACGCCGGAACATTGTATTATTAAGAGTTATCATAGACATATTTGCTATCTTTCCTCTTGTACTGGAATGGCACAAGCCTTTTGAATACTGAAACACATCCACATATTGCAAACAGCACTATCACGCTCGTACATGCGAATGTTACTCTGGGTCCATAAGCATTGTACACTTGACTGATGAATATTGGTCCAAGGGTTCGAGCCAGGCTCCCGGAGCCAGTGAGCAGTCCCATCATTACTCCCTGCAACACAGAAAATGGTCACATGACAGAGCAGTGTTTCCTTTGATGGTGATAATGGCATTGTCCCATGGGATCTTAGAAATCCGACACTCATACAACAAATAATGGGGATGTAACAAAAATACGAAAATATAGCTAGATTTTGTACAGATGATATTGTTAAAAACGCTGATACCGAAGTTTGTGGACACGTGAAATGACACCTTAGAATGTTGACGCTAGTAATGACATCAGTACAACACGTGAGGATTAAGTCATACCTGCGGTTTTGGTCCAAGGACTTTAGAGAAGATTGTGTAGATCATGAGGTTGCAGACTGGGTAACCAATGACGATCAAAAGCGTACCACCAAGGAACTGTGGTAACAGGATACGCGGAGTATAGGCACACCACTTATAGGAGATAGGACAGCCTCTATGCTCGGGATCATCACCTGGTGCTGAGCTGTTGTGACCAGGAGTCGTCATAAGAGAGGTTGACCAATCTGTAATTCCCCTTAATGGATCTGTGGTTGAATTGACTGATGAAGGCGGTAATAAGTCTGTTAGAATAAAAACAACAGCTTGAAGTGTTCATTTATGTGTACAAATATAATAAAGTATTCCGAAAATACTCTTTTTTTTCAGATGATGCTTACTTTTTTTCCAGACATCAATATCAAAAAACAAATTCTGTCAACAGACATCCAATTATGACATTAAAGTAAATTTTGATAATTTTCTTTTATGAAAGTTCCAACAGAACATACTAGTCAACGCTTTGATTTATCATAATAGAGCAAACACTTTTCGGCCTGGTTTGTTTCTTTTTATCGAAGAGAACTTACTGCTTAAGACTACCATTTGTACAGTGCAGTGTTATTGTCAAATGTACTTAAGACCGCGAATTAAGTATATATTTTTTTTAACAAACACATCATTCTTTATTTTCTGTCGTATTGTATTCATGAATTCACAAGAGACCAATCATGCAAACGAAACTCGTAATACAGTCATATCTACATTTTATAAATTCATCATATTGATATTAGTTATTCCTCACAGCATTAAGGGTAGAATCCCCAATGAGTGGTGGTTGGTTATCATGGTATTTTGATTAATCATCAAAATAAAAGATACCATGTTTGGTGAATCTTATAGACATTAAACCTAACCAGCATGAGTTGTTTTTTTACAACCATATGGTATCTGGAAAGGAACACTTTACCACGATATCATTTCTGATCACAATGCCACTTGATCTCCAGCTTGAGGTAACCAACCAAATAATTATAACTCAACGTTTAGCCTGATTTCTCGCGGTTTGTCTGACTTTATTAAAATTGTTATTTTGGAAAACAAAAATCGTATATATTAAGATTAGACCTTGATCGTGATAATCCGGGAAATCGTTTCCCCATGGCAGGAAGGTGATGAACCCAGCCAGACAGAACAGAAACCCTCCTATTAGGATGTAGCGCTCGTTGAACCTGAAAGAACATTTATTTTTTATTATGTATTCTCTCCCGATAACATTTTAAGTAAACAATCTGCACAAGTAGAAGAGAAAGTGCCATCTTTAAAAGCTGAAGGACAGGCTTATAGAAAGCATCTCGATGATAACAAGTTAGTTGATAATCATCTAAACAAGTAGTACACATAGTTGAAGCGGTCACTTTTCAAAATGAACTACATAAAATCTATGTCATTTGTCATACCACCAACATATTTAAAGGCTTAATTTTCCTTTATTCTTAATTAATTCCTTGAAACAAATCGTCCGATGTATTGTTTTACCAGTCCACATCGCAAAGCACTGTTGCTCAAATCGTGTCAGTATTATGATCATTAACTTTGCAAGGCATGTCAATGTCAAAGTTGTATTACTACTGAATCATATCATTACTTGTAATAAATACATCTTATTTATTAATGCATATACATGAAAACCTAGATGTTCATTCATATCCGCTTTCCTTGCCACTCGATATGATGTAGGTACTTTCTCCATATAAGACGAGGAACAATGTATCTGGATATGTTTCCAAGTCTTAATAGTCTTACTACTGAAGACTGCATGTATATACTATTAATGAAATTTGATGGGCACATGCGTAGATTGCTTATTAAATTGAGTTTATCCAGCAATACATGTTGTATTCGTGTAGTTAAGGTTATAACATATTCTGTTATTAACTAATTATCATTTAGGAAACCATTAGATGTTAAGAGTGGACCGTTAACATGTCGTGTCTTTACCTCTTGACGAGGACTTTGACGACAATGAAGACAAAGATGGCGATGACTCCACCAACAGCTAGGATGATCCCTGTATAAAGTGTGGCTTCGCTCTTTGTCCAGGAAAACATATCCATCGTAAGCGGAGTGGCAATACTAAAACAGGAGACCGCGGATATTATCTCATTAAATCATTGAAAACAATATAAAACAACAACATCGTATCAATACTAAATACAACAAAAAACAGACACAACGTAACCAGACTGAAATCAACACAAAACAGTCACACCGTAACAACACTGAAAACAACACAAAACAACCACAACATAACAACACTAAAACAACACAAAACAGCCACACCGTTGCTACACTTAAAACAACATATAACACAAAGCCACAATACTGAAAACAAAGCCAAAATACTGTTATTAAAGCAAAAAAGTAAGTAATAAAACTATCAAAATACAAATAGTTACATTTTTCAACACCAAGCAAAACTAAAACTTATAAATTGTTACAGCTTGTATTATTGTCTCATGTATATTTTCGTTATTATAGATCCTGATCGGGAATGGCACATTGTAATAATTAGATAATCAAGGCAGAGCTGTATTCTGTTTCAAAAACGACCGAAATCACAGATAGAACTAAATTTTTCATACTTACGTTTCAAACACAACAAAGAGGAATAGAACGAAGAAGAAAAGGATGAGTGATGCGATGACAGCAAGAGTATCTGGTGTGTAGTCGGGTAGCCGCTCTGTTAACAGTGAGTATACTTTATATCAAAGTTTTACTGTATTAACAAACAATGCACGTATTGAACGTGTCGTAACGTTTCAAGACAGACTGGTCCTTTTGTGCAAAACGTGCATTGTTTGTGAAGTAAAAGCTTGATGTTACATATATCCAAACTGATGAATCTTATTGCCGATTGTGAGTGTACATGTCGAAACAAAGCAATATTAGGTGATGTTACGAATATGTTAACCTGCCCTTTACCATTCTTAGAAAAGGAATTAGTTTTGCTGAGTTCGTGTTTAATTTCTGTAAGGAGGCATTTGAATTTTATCAAAAACAAATATATTCAATAAAGAATCCAGAACATAACAAAAGCAGTTAAGCGCAGATAGCAAACAATATCTTAGAAAAGGAATTAGTTTTGCTGAATTCGTGTTTAACTACCGTTAGGAAGCATTCGCATAAAATCTAAAGCAAATCTATTCAATAAGGAAGCAAAAACATTACAAACGCACTTAAGTGCAGAAAGCAAACAATACCTTATGTAAAATCAAATGAATGAGAAACTGATGCAAATCACACATTTGGTGTATAAGTCTTGGGTAGGATCAACATACCGCCCACTTGGACCTGGAAATTGATATCCTCATCATTGTCAACTCGGTGTTCCTGAAACACCACCACCAATAGCACAACGTTCATGATGCCGACAATGACACTGAGCCAAGCAGGCATCGTGTAAAGGTCAAGGTGAAACCCTGGCTCGTGAACTGGTCCAGGCCACCCTACAGGCACCATGGCAGTCTGAATACCTGTACAACAAAACACAACATTGTGCTTACTACATATTACTTAAAAAAATATACATTATTTCACGACATTATCAAACGAATGTTTAGGTGTGAAAACTAATTTTTGGGCTTTGGTTATTACCACAAATTATACAAACTAATTATTCATCTTTTGCATAATTACACAATGATTGTTTCCATTTGAGTTATAGCGAGATTTATTGATAAATCAATAAACCAAACCTTTTTATAATAATTAGTTCATCATGATCAATTTACAAATGCAAGACAACAGCAAACACATTTTCTTGATAAGGATAAGACTAGTGTGAATTCAGGACCCAGACCCAGAATCCACCGAATAACTACTGTAGTGTTCTCACCTGGTCCAAATATAAAGCCGATAGCCTGACATGCACTCATGCTAGCCATTGCCCCAGTCCTCTCACGCGTGGTGGTGGCACCGGACACATACGACCGGACAACGGCCACATTACCTACAGGAGAAACACGCTACTATATACTGGCCATTCCTTTGTCCCTAAATCTACAAGATTAGTTTATATTATCTTACCGCTGCTTCACTTAAACTGAACCAATCATTCTGGAAAATTAGTATTTAAGTTAATGCAATTGCAGCCCACGGAAGCCATAGTACCCAAATAAATTGTTGCAGCTAATACGGAAATGTCATCAGTAATGAGATCTGTTAAAAAAAATACGTCGTATACAAAATAAAAGGAAAATGCAAAGGGAACATCGACAAAAAATAAACATGTACTGTCTTACATGAATTAACAGTCAAACCAAAGTTCTCTTCCGGCAATCGGAAAAAATATATCAGTGAGACATTTTATATTAGGTTGCTAAATAAATGTTCTTGTTCCATGTACTTGTTAATGCCCCTACGTAAACTGAAATTCATGATTGCCCTTGTCAGTAAAAGTATTAAACGTTTGTTCATAACACATATACACTTATTCTAAATGTCTTGAAGTTTTCGCCTGCCGTTGCCAGAAGAAGTATACTAGAAGTGGTCATACCTGCCCCGAAGCCTATGAACCCTCTGGCCAGTAGAAGGGCTATACTCTTGTGTGATTTTAGACTCTCCAGATATGCATACAAAACAGTGGCCAGTATATTGATGACAATGGAGACAACCAGAGGTTCACGACTTCTCTTTCTCTTGTTTGCCCAAAAGCCAAATATAGGGGAGGCTATCAGCTGTCCCAAACTGTACGACGCTACCACCCAGCCAAGGAAGTCGGTAGTAGCTGATGGATCCAGCTGTAATCGAACGGGCGTAGAATTAGACCTCGATATTTACTCTTGGTGACCTCTGCGTTAAATGGCTCTGGTCATTCCCAGTTATTTCAAATATCAATTATAAATGTCATGCAACCAGATGTTAAGAATATGTATCGGGGTATATTCATATAGTGCCAATATTACATTTTGCTATATGTAGAACAAAAACTGACAGGCATACTTACCAGCTGTAAATTGGTCCATTTGGAGGATATGCAATAAATGCAAAACTTACCAGATGTACGTAGAGTCATATGAAGGACATATAATGAGTTATCCCCATACCAGCTATAGGAAGCGCAATATGGAGGACATCAATTAAGAGACATTAATATTGTTACCAGATGAAGTAGGCCATAAGGGGAACCATGCATTAAATGGTATACGTATTGGGTAAATGTAGAGTCATATGGAGGACGTGCATTAAATGACTTACATATTTGCAATATGGGGGAACATACATTGAGATACACGCTGATATGTACCAGCAGTACATAGTGATGCATGGTTGAAATAAATTGAAAGACCGTACATACCCACCAGTGGCAGATAAAGACATGTGGTTCTACTTGGTTTCGGTCTGTTTACTCATTCACCCCTGAAAACACATTTGAACTCTTCCAATTCATAGGTTTGAGAAGTTCATTATACAATTTCAGGGGTGAATGAGTTAATAGACGTTTCCGTCTCTTGACCCCCTCAATGATGGAGAATGCCAGCTGAGTAACATACTTACCAGCTGTAGGTAGGGCCATATGGATGACATACATATGGAGAAGGAAACACTACTAAGGAACATCGTGAGGTACATGACCCGGATGGATCGCCACCGACTCTTGTACACATTTGGAGGCTCTAATATTGTACTGGGCACACCAACAGTTCCGGGACTGAAACAAAGTTTCAGATTATTGAAAGTGACCATTAACGACATAAAAATACAAAATACATGCACAAATTCTATGAGTAAATTTTTGTTAATAGGTGAACGGATTTTTCGTGTTAGCCGAAACGGTTAACCGATTGCTTCCAAGAAATGCTTTCCTGCAGAGTTTGGTTTAGTTTGTTTGTGTTTAACGTTCTATTAACAGCTATGATCATTTAAGGACGTGCCAGGTTTTGGTGATTGAGAAACGCCGGAATTCCCGGAGAAAAAAACCCACGTGGGCCTCGACCCCGGTCGACTCGGTGGTAGAGGGCTAGTGGTAGCAGAATGTCAGATGCCTTAACCACTTGGCCACCGCGGTCCCTTTTCCTGCAGAGTTCTTTATTAATTAACTGACAACTGATTGCTATCAATTAATGTCTTCCTACGGAGCTCATAACTAACAGTCAATTCACTCCTATTCGGTTGGGTTGTATTGGGTTTAATGTCCTATTAAGACATAAGTTCATTAAACGTCGTGCCTCCATGTGCGTAATGTACGAGTACATGTATGTATGTATGCTGGAGACAAGGTATATTTGCCTCATTGTGATAGCGCGGATCTGATGCCTACTTTTGATTGCTACATATTGTACCTTATGACAACTGCAATACTAGGACGAAAGCACCCATCACAGAATTCCATCCGGTCACATTATACTAAAAAAAAGGGAAACCAGTTGTTGCCATTACCCGAAATGCTGAACGGGAAGCAGGAAACAACAACCATTTCTAAACACTTTGCTATGTCCCTGCCTGGGGACAGGACCTATCGCCTACCCAACTTGGGCGAACGCTCGACACCAAGGCAAAAAGTGATGTATTGCCAGGCAAGGCAGTAAGAAACAAAAAAGCTGTAAGGAGTTAAAGAGAAAATATAAATCTCCGAAATACTGCAATGGGGTCAACAGAACCATTGTGGTTTCTTTAGTGTCCCCTTAGTAGACGACACAGAGGAAAACCCACACAGGTGGGACTACATAAGTGGCCTTTACGACATGCAGTAGTGGTATACAGTGGGTAAATTCCTTCCCTTTTTACTGGAGTCTTCAACCGATTTTCATCAATTTTAAATTGAAAAAGAATAAAAACAATTATTAATAATCAAACACAACCTATATTGGAAAACACAAAAAAAATCATATTATAATATAACTTTATAAATATATTAAACTTTATGAGTTAATTTAGTTTAAGTTGACATCGATAGAAAATAATGAAAAAATATATGTTTTGATAATTAATTTGACGGTCAAAGAACATACTTGAAATAAACAGCGAACCATGTGTTCGTGCGGGACACCGTGGTGAATTTCTTTTTAGCGTATTCACGTCATTCTTCTTCAAACACTGAATCTGTATAGGCGTAATTCGAGACATGGAAACAAAAACGGCTCCTTCCAGCAGGTGAACTTTGTTGAAAATTGTTTGGTCGTATTTCAAAAAATATTTTGCTAGCTTTTTATTTCCATTAGTAGACTGTACACATGTCTATGACAGTCAGCCATCAGTAATTTCAACAGTTTTCTATCGATATGAGAAAGAAATTGCGCGAGGTTGCTTACTAAGAGCACGGCAAACGATGACACGATGTTATACAATGTAATGTATGTGTATGTAGTCCTACATGTGCACCGTACGTGTGAATCCCCTTGTACTTCGCATATCAGGATCTCCTTGCTCAACGTCAAGCGGTCATCCAGTATAACTTGGCCCAACGCTCATGACGCAACACCAATTAAAACCTCTAATGTCGTCTGATGCTTGCAACAATTTCCTTGACAACTTAGACAAAAGTAATGGCTTGCAGTACTACAGCGCGCGCTAGTCTATGTCGGCTCTGGTCAATGCACAAGTGAGTGGACAGGCTGTTTTATGAGACTAATTTGTGTACTGTTTTCTATGTTTAAAGCTAGCATTAAAACGAAAATAACAAATGGTTTCTTTGGCTAATGACAGGGAGAGCTCTGGTCTGAAAATTACGAAGCTACGTACGGCTTGACCTAAAAACGAATACATGGCTTCTGGGGGAAAAAGCATTGTATTCATCTGTAGTGGGCAGTCCTAGCTAGGAAAATAGAGGTCTTTATCTTGACCTCCAGTTATATTGATTATGAATGCGTTGTTGTTTTAACCGTTTGGAGGTGGTAATTGTATTTCGTAATATATTTCGTGCAAACATGATCACTATAGATTGGCCGGTGGCCACTGCCCAAAAGGCCTTTTGCCAATCCAAAAATATGAATGAATGTTGACATAACCTTAATTTTAATTGCTATTTTTTTAAACCACAGTATGGAAATATTAATATAAAACAAGAGGCCAACAGGGCCTTTATCTCCAACCTGGATCTGTGTTATCTCTTAATGCCAAGCAATAGCATATATAGTTATGGGATGGGGATCTCAAACGTTCAAAACTTATGGCCCAGAAAAAAAGTCTCTTAGGGTGGAGCCAGACTCAAGAGTCAACGCTAATATTATGATTGTGTCCATCTCTTGATGCCAAGCAATGCTATATATGGTTATGGGGTGTGCATCTCGACTGTTTCAAAGTTAAGACGCAAAAAAGTAGTCCCTAGGGGTAGGCCCGACCTCAGAATCAATCCTAAATATCATGGTACTGATCGTGTCTTGAATCCAACAATGGTATATATATATATGGTTATGGGGTTGGAATCTTAACAGTTTCCAATTTAAGGTTCAGGATTTAAGTCCCTAGGGGCGGGGCCAGACATTAGAGTCAATTCATATGTTATGATTATGTTCGTCTCTTGATGACCAGCAATGGTTTATATGGTTATGGGTTTGGGATATAAACTTCATAAAAACATAGGGGCTGGTAGCCAGTCTAGCAATACCCAGTTAATCGAAATTTCCTCTAACGTAGAAAACCACAGACTAAAACCATACATAGTATATACGTTTCTGAGTAAACAAAACAAACAAGTATTCAATAAAATATAGATATTAGAAACAGACATGCTATTTATCCATGAAATACTGAGATAAGTAGTATATATATATATATATATATCAGACAAATAATACATCAATAGCATTTGAAAAACGTTTTGTGCACTCACAGTTTTTTCCGATCGAGTGAAAGTTTTTTCACATCCAGAAGTTGAATCGGTCCTGATAATTTTGTCATGGTGAACACTTGTTGAGGGATTTGGAATGAACGTTTAGAATCTAATGAAATTTAGTTCATATAACATTGGTTACACATAGACTTCTTGCCTGTGGCAGGAAGTATACATCTACCACTTTACCCGTATAGACAATTACTATTAAATCTATATCTTAAGGTTGTGTCATCATAAATAGCTGGCGGGCTGTTTATCGTGATCACTGTATATTACATTTAATGGCATTAGGCTACGCGCATTTCTACATAGATCTGTACACAGTATATAGCCATATATATGAGTGTAAATGGGTGTTATTGCACCCTAGACGAGATGTCCATATACCATATTTTGGTTAAGAGCTGTCATGTGATTTAGTTTAGCTAAGTTTATTTTCTGATACAGGATCTATATAATCCTCTCCACCAGACTCGGACATGGTGTTTTTTTAAAATATATATATAAACATGTACACATACATTTTGTACATGACCTTTCGGGTAAGGACATCACATGTTTAACCAGTTACGTTAGCTCTGTATTTATAAATAATCTCCTGATCAATCCAGTGGTTATCGAGTCTGTTCTTAAATGTATTTACTGATGGTGTTGATATCACATCCTCTAAAAGACTGTTCCATAGTTTTACTGTTCGTAGAGAAGTTTTTCTTAATTTCAATGTTTGAATGTTGTGGGTAAAGGTTTTTTTTGAAATGTCCCCTGGTACATGTCTTTCGGAATATTCCTACCACAATCTAAGGAAATCTTATGCATTTCGATCAAAGACACGACTCGTTATCTTGTATACTTCTATTTCTCCCACACCTGACAGATTTATCTCCCGTTTTGCCGGTGCTAGATTTATCTGTCTCCGCCCTAGGGTGGAGACGGGGGGATTCCTCTATTTATAACAATGGTATGACGTCACTGCAATAATACAATGACCTCACGTCAAGAATCCATCAACGTCACGTCAACCCTGAATTTAGAATGTAACGTTATCATTACATTGTGTACATGTATATGATACACATTGGGGAAAACAGAGTAAGAGAAAAAGAATCATTCATCCCCTTCTGGGTAAGATAGGGGAATCTCACCCCTCGGGGAAAGCTTCTTAAGTTGCCAAACACTCGGCAAATCCTCGTGTTTGGCAACATAAGAATCTTCCCCCTCGGGTTGAGATTCCCCTATCTCACCCCAAAGGGAGTGAATGATTCTATTAGTCATCACCTCTTGCACGTCTGTAACTCAAGTAGGTAGATTTAGTTTTTATAGCCGCTCCGGATATGGTAAATCCCTAAATCCCGTTATTCGTTTCGTTGTCCTTCGTTGAACTCTTTCCAGCATATCAATATGTTTAGCTTTATTGGGTAACGTACCGTGTTTGCATATTCTAAATGAACTCCAAATAGAGTTTTATATAATAGTGGAAAAGTGCGTTCATTCATATACGGAAACGTTCGTCGAATGACAGCGAAAATTGAATCCGCCTTTTTTACCTGTGCACTTCTTTGTTCTTCAAATGTTAGGACATTGTCTACAATCACCCCAAGATCCTTCTCATGGCATACTTCCTTTAATGCTTCGTTGTTGATGTAATATGTTCGTTCACTCGACACCCGACCTATGTACATAGATTTGCATTTTCCAGGGTGAAATTTCAGAAGTCATTTGTCGCTCCATTCGGGGAGTCTTTTCATATCATCCCACGTATAACTTTGTACATTTTAGTATCATAAGCAAAAAGGTAACCGGGAGAATTAATATTATCTGGAAGATCATGTATGTATAGTTTGAACAGAATGGGTACCAGGACGGATCCTTGGGGCAAT